TTTTTTTTTTTTTTTTTTTTTTTTTTTTAATCCACGTTCGGCCCGAACGGCCGAACGCCTTCCGAAGGGGTCCCGTACGTTCGGGCGTTCGGGTTCGGACGTTCGGCCCGTCCCGAACGCCGGTAACCCTGCCGCGAACAAAGCAAACTCAGGAATTAAACGAGAAACAAGCCCAGTTCCCCCTACCCAGTAACATCAAACATTGTAAACGATACAAAAACTTTGAACGAAGAAGGAAGAAACTTAGGCAAAAACAGACCCTAAATCGGGCCTGAAAATCCAGCACTTGCAGCGAGCCTTCGAACTGGAAACAACTGACACCAGTTGGTGATGATTCCCAACCGATGGTCCCAACACCCTGAGAACTTGCGAGAAAACTTTTGGAGAGCAAAGTCGAAATAATGATCCAAATACCCACGCAATCACAACTCATACTTCAAAATGAATAAAGAAACTACCTCCAGACCAGGGACGTTGGTAAAAACTCGTATTCGATGAAGAAAGGAAATGATTACAACTAATTTTTGTTGTCGACCAGAAAAGGACGATAAATCCTGCAAGTTGTGAAAGACCAAACCTTGTTCAGAGATCACATGCTGATTCTTGTAGGTGGCTGCGCAGCAAATACGACATGGGTCATTAAAAACCTTAACGGCACAACCAATAAAGTTCCAACCACAACCTTCATTGGTCTGTTCTAGAGTCAAATTCGAATCGTGGCAGTCACAAAATCGGTTAACCAACATTTGTGCCTTAGTCAAAGAAAGAGCAGAAGAAACGGGAAATCGAACAAAGATAGAAACATCGTCTACAACAAGGAACCTTGCAACCACAATGGAAAAAATTCCCTGAATTAAATAATCATTCTATAGTAAAGTTACAATCTAAATTTTAAATTTTAATTTCATCTAAAAAAATGTCATTCCAATTTTAAAATTTTTCATCTTACTTCCAAACTTTCATTCCAAGAAGGATATTTGAACTGCATGTTAGAGATGAAATGAAAGTCTAGATGAGTTCATGAAATATTTTAATTGGACTGTCATTCTAAGTAAGGATTTTCAGTCATAAATAGGTTAATCCAATATAAATTAGAAGATATTTGTTTTAGTAAAATAAAAATTTAATAAAAACATTTCATAAACTCGTCCAGACTTTCATTCCATTTTGAACAAATAGATGTAGTTGGAAGGGAAAACTCATATTTAGACGACAACTTATCAAATAAAACTATAAATTTTAGAATTGGACGAACATTGGAATGATAATTTATAAATATGAAGGATTTATTTTTTATGGAATGTTTTTTCAACTTTCATTTCTCGTGGGAATTTTTCTGTTGCAGTTTTCGATCAGAGCTGAGAGACAGAAAACAAAACTCATTATAGGCACACAGTAAACAGGCAAGAGCAAGGCTCGTGGACTTCCCCATAGGGATACCCAAAGTCTGTTTCAACAAAATACCGGAGGAGCGAATATACGTGTTCTCCAAGTCAAAAACGACATAACGAAGGATTCGAGATAACTTGATCAAAACCCATCCATCCTCCACCATCTCTATAGTGAGTCCTGCCACCTTACCATGATTTCTTACCAGAACACTCTTGAAACCCTTGGTAATTCAGTAATCAACTGCCCAACGCAACGCCTTCAAAATAGAAAGGTGAGGTAAGTTTAAAAACATTTCCTTGACGTCGAACGAGGCTCCCAGTAATTGATCCTTGTCCTTGACACCATTGTTAACAAAATTAATCCCCAACATGAAATCAGATGTATGACGAAGATTGAAATAAAACAAATTCGGGAGCTTCCACCGGAGTTCGTTAATAGCATAAG